CATTGTCATCAGCTGATATGAATGAATAAATCTAACATTTTCTCAAATACAGAACAACAATATTTATTGAACATTTCTGCATTTTTATTGATAATTCTACTAGGGATGCAAATATTTAAAAAGTTAGCCATTTAAACTATTAAAATTATATTTAATCGGTTAACCAATTAAAGGGAGAGAGGCTGGGGCTGCTCTGGCCAGCAGAAGGCTGCCCTTCTTTTCTATGATTCCATTTGTTATATATAAGTTTTATAGATGCTTTTACTTACACTCTAGGCCAGGTTTGTTTTTTAACCAGTGTGGTGTTTTTTCTTGATTGTTGGATCTTATTTCTGGTTTGAATTTATATAGCTTCAGCTCCCAGCTGTTGACTCTTGTAATGTTTTTGATGGCTAGATAAGAGCCCTCTGCTTTCAGAAATTATCTCCCCATGTAGGTATTTATAGATTGTGATCAAGTCATCTCTTTACTTCATAAACTAAATAGACTGAACTTCTTAAGTTTCTCACTGTAATACGTGCCTTCTAGTCTTCAAATAATTCTTGTGGCGCTTTTCTAAACTCTCTTCAATTATATAATTGTACCTTCATATAATTCCAGTCAGAATTGGGCGCCAGTGGCATCAGGCTTTTGGTCATAGCCCTGGTAGGTCACAAGATTCAGACCTTAAAATTGCAACATTCTGTGCACAGTCCAGATACTTCTGAAATAAATAAAATTCAAGTTAAAGCAGGTTTTATGATGTGTTAAAATTTGTTTATGTGAAATAGTTTGTTAACCTATTAATAGCTGATCCACGCAATCAGCTTAATAGCCAGGGTAGCCAAGCCCCAGGATTCTTGCTGAAAGCCGTGGTTTCCTTTGTCAGGCTTTTTATTGCAGTAGTGGCGCACACAGCTTGCATTCTGAACAGGCAATTTGGGGTAATTTCTGCCAGAATCAGCCCAAACTCATTCATGGTTCCTTAGAAAACAGTGATTAACCCCAGTATTATTGAACAGTAATGTATTATGAGGATGTCTCCTTACTGGACAGTAGCTGAATCAGAAATATATGTCAATACTACGTTAATCTGTAATCTGAGATACACTGGGGTGTATTTCGATGCCCAGTTTGTTGTACATTACCTATGATTAGACGCTTGCTTCTGATGTGTTCCTTCTTAAATGTAAATTGCACATAATGTATTGGCGATGCAAGGATAGTTAGTATAGCACTCCCATAGCGATGTTCCAATGAACTATTGCAGCCATCAAATGATAAAAGAATTATACTTTAAAAACACCATGGAATGATGAAAGAAACATATTGGGTTCAGTTGTGATTTAATGTCACAGTCTATTGCAGGGGCACATATCCTCAGCAGGAACTTCTGGAGGCATTTGCTCAGCCTGGCACAATGCTTCCAGGCATGCACCGCCCTTTGAAAAGGTTCAGGATGTGTTCTTCAATGCCACATGAGAAACTGTCTGAGGCTTTGGCTCTGCCCCTTCAGAAAGGTTAGCAAGACCGTGTCAGTAGTGTGTAGTGGTCCTTGTTTTCAGGGGAGTACAAGGACAGCCATTTTGCCTGATCACTGTGTACGAGTGCAACGGAGGCCAGGTACAGTTGAGACTTCAGATCCTATTAAGTACCTAAGAGTCAGGGTGGGATATTTCTTCTGGCTGAAATTCTAGACCAAAATATGAAAATAGGGTTTTCATTGCAGGATACACTGATAAAGTGAGGGATCTGGCTTTAGAGCACAGTGGAAGTAGCATAAACATTCCTTAAGTAGAAGAGAGGGACTCATGTCACTTTAAATCTTTCCTTTAACCAAGCAATCGACCCAGAAGCAGCAGTGAAGGACTCCAGTGGGATTCCTATGTCCTCCGTTCTTCCAAAAGTATGGGTGGCCATGATTGAAAGTCTTCTAGGGTTGTGCTGGGAAGAATAAAGACAAATGGGGGAAATCTGGAGGCAAATCATTGTAAAGAGAGTTTTAAAAACCAGTTTTTTTGCTATAATTCATACATCCAGATGTGTTGTTGCTTTTAGTAGAATGTTAAAGGGCCATCAAAACTCAGTGGCTCCAGGGGAGAGCCAGTGAGAAAAGGCCAAAGTGATATGAAAGCATTTAGCTAAATAGAATCCTAGAAATATAAGGGGCTGGAAGGAACCTCAGTAGTTTATCTTAGTCCATCCCTCTGCTCTGAGATAGGACTATGTATACATAGATCATCACTGACCGGTGTTTTTCTAACTTGTTCTTAAAAAAATCTCCAATTACAGGGATTCTACACCTGCTTTGGTAACCTATTCTAGTACTTAATTATCCCTATACTCAGAAAATTTTTCTTAATATTTGACCAGAATCTCCCTTCCTGCAGATTAAGCCGATTATTTCTTGTTCTACCTTCAGTGGACATGAAGAACATTTGATCACTGTTTTCTTTATAACAGCTCTTATCATATTTGAAGACTGTTATCAGGTTCCCCCTTCAGTCGTCTTTTCTCAAGACTAAACATATCTGTTTTTTTTAAGCTTTTGTCATAGGTCAGGTTTCTCTAAACCTTTTGTCATATTTGTTGCTGCCCTTTGGACTCTTTACAATTTGTCTGTATCATTCTTAAAGTGTGGAGTCCAAAACTGGACACAGTATTCCTCACACAGTATTCCTCCTACTAGTGCTACTCAGCCACAGCTGAGGCCTCACTAGTGCTGAGTAGAGTGAAGCAATGAATCACCTCCAGTGTTTTAGATATGACACTCCTGTTGTTCCACCCCAGCATATTAGCCTTTTTTGCATCACGTTGGGTCATATTCAGTAAGTGATCCTCTATACCCCCAGATCCTCTTCTGCAGTATTACCGCCTAGCCAGTTACTCCCCATGTTGTAGTTGTGCATTTGATTTTTCCTTCTTAAATGTAGTACTTGGCACTTGTCTTTATCGAATTTCATCTTGCTGATTTCAGACCAATTCTCCAGTTTGTCAAGGTCAATTTGAATTCTGATCTTGTCCTCCAAAATACTTGCAACCACTCCTAGCTTGGTGTCATCCACAAATTTTATAAACATACTCTCCATCCCATTATCCAAGTCATTAACGAAAATATTGAATAGTACCGGACACAGGACACACCTCTGCAGGACCCCAGTAGACAGGTTCTCCCAGTTTGACAGCAAGCCATTGATTACTCTTTGAGTATGTGTTTTCAGCCAGTTGTGCACCCACTTAATAGTAGTTTCATCTAGACCATATTTCCCTAGTTTGCTTCTGTGAATGCAATGTGGGAATGTATCAAAAGCCTTCTTAAAATCACGATAAATCATAGCTGTTGCTTCCCCTCATCCATTAGGCCAGTAATCTTGTCAACAAAGGAATTTCAGTTGGTTTGGCATGATTTGTTTTTGACAAATCCATGCTGGCTATTATTCACTATTCTATTATCCTCTGTGTACTTGTTCCATTATCTTTCTAGATATTGAAGTTACCCTGACTGGTCTGTAATTCTCCACTTTCTCTTTGTTCCCCATTTTAAAGATAAGTACAATGTTTCCCCTTCTCTAGTCCACTGGGACCTCACACATCCTTCATAAATTCTCAAAGATTGCTTCATGTAGTTCCTTAAGTATGCTTGGGTGAATTTTGTCTGGCCCTGCCAATTTGAATACATCTAAATTATCTAACTATTCTTTAACCTATCCTAGCTTGTGTTCTTTCCCCCTTGTTGTTAATATTAAATCTGGTTAGGTATTTGATCACAATTAGCCTTTTTAGTGAAGATGTAAGCAAAATAGGAATTAAACACCTCAGCTTTTCTGATGTCATCCGTTATTAGCTCTCCTTCCCTGCAAAGTTGTGGACCTACACTTTACTTATGTTTTTTCTCTAGCTCCTAATGTATTGAAATAACCTCTTCTTGTTGCTTTTTATGTCACTTGCTAGGTATAAGTCATTTTGTGCTTTAGCTTTTCTGATTTTGTGCCTACATGCTTGTGCTATTCTTTTGTACTCATTCCCAGCAATTTGTCCATGTTTCTGCTATTCATAATATTTCTTTTTGATTTTTTGGTCTTTAAAGAGCTCCTGATGCAGCCGTATTGGCCTCATACTAGTCTACCTACCTTTCCTTCGCATTGGGATAATTTGCTGTTATGAGAAACTGCCAGCTCTCTGGAACTCCTTTTCCCCATAGATATTCTTTCCATGGGACCTTACCTACTAGTTCTGAATTTGTTAAAATTTGCTTTTTTAAGTCCATTTTTCTTATTCTGCTGCTCTCACTTCTTTCTTTCCTTAGAAACATTACATGATCACTTTCACCCAAATTGCCTTCTACCTTCAGATTCAAGAATCAGTCAGAATCAAGTCTAAAGTACTTCCCCTCCACAATTAATTCCTCCACTCCTGAAACAAGGAGTTATCCCTTACACATTCCAGGAACTTACTGGACACTTTGTTTTGCTGTATTACTTTTTCAACAGATATCTAGGTAGCTAAAATACCCCACTACTACCAGGTCTTGTGTTTTGGTTATTTCTGTTGTTTGTTCGAGAAATGCCTCATCCACCTTCTCCTCCTGATTTGGTGATCTATAGTAGACACCTACTGTGAAGTTGCCCCCATTTTTTGTCTTCATCCAGAGAGTTTTAACTGGCCTGCCTGTCACCTCCTTCATAACAAGTGTATACAATCTTGATCTACAATGTAACATCTCCTCCTTGTTTTCCCCTGTCTGTCTTTCCTGAACAGTCTGTGACTCTCTGTACCAATATTCCAGTTATTCAGCAATCCAATATTCAACCAGCTGTAAGAAATTTTTATTTCAGTTGCATTAAAATAGATTTCCAAATCAGCTTCATGGTTTTGAATGAAGAATGGGCATAAGGATCAAACTCCTCAGGTGCACTTAAGCTAATTTTGCTTGACTTTTTCCTGCATTATTCCCCCTTCCCCCACCCTTTGCATTTGGAAAGGCTTAATCTAATAATTTCCCAATTCTGTTTCTGCTTCAGAATGCAGATTTCACCCCAGGTACATGGCGCAGAACAGATGTGCACTTGGAAAACCCAGAGTACCACACCAGATGGTATTTCAAATATTTTCTAGGAAAAGGTAATTACACTTTTGTAAATGGCTTAAACATGATTTTAAATAAATGAGAAATACCTTTCACATTTGAGTAATTGCAATTGTTAAAGTGCATGGGATTGACTTTATTTCTTATTATTAATATTGCACCTTCAGTGTGTGCAGTGCTGTATAGAAGATGGACTGAGGCAGACAGATGGTTCCATGCCCCAAAGAGCTTAGCTTCTGATGTTATTGTGGGCACAATACAATCCAGGATAAGCACAAGGTAGTATTCGGTCACTAAAGCTGTAATCATTCACTGCACTGCGGACTTTACTGCCAGTCCATTGGAAGCTAAACTTCTAGCATTGACATGAGAGAGAAGCTCCAAACCCAAGAAGTCTTGTCACATTCTTTCAAGAATTCTAGTGCTCCTCACTTTTCTATAACATAAAAATGTTTTCAGAACACTTTTTGTTTGAGGATTTTTGTTTCTACTTCTTGTCCCAGACAAAATAAGGAAATACACTTGAAGTGTATGTGAATTGTTGAAGGCTAAGTTAATTGCACATCAGGAAAAGTTTAGGCCCAGTTAAGACTTGAGTGAAGGTTCAGGTTAGTTTATATCATATCTGAAGTGGCTTACTCAATTGTCCTTGTTCTTTTTCACAAAATATCTTCCAGAACTGGCCCATTGAGTTGCCAGGATCTCACTAGGTTAGTCATTTAGGCCCCTACTTGGCTTTGTAAGTCTAAAAATAGCAATTATGTCGCTCCCTATAATGTAGCAGTATTTTGTGAGAGGGCATATTTGCAAAAGATTTTAAGGGAAATCAGCGGAAATGGCTTTTCTTCACAGATTTTATAGGAAAGAACTGAGATGGCAGAATCCTCTAGTTTGAGAGACTTGAAACATAAACTTTACAGAACAAAACAAAAAAAATCCCTCTCTTCCCCTTGAAGCTGCAATTCCTCAATAAATTTTCTCTTACCTCTTCTAAATTTAAACCATTGCTCTTGGTAGTGAGGATCTGCAGCAAGTTTTTGATTTCCATGCTTTCTTCATTAAGTCCTTTAAAGTTGTTGACAGAGTCAGGATTTCTTAATGTGTTTGCAAGAGTCTTTCTTCTATTCATTTTTTTTTCTAATACACAGCCTGAAACCGTAAACATCTATTTCTGAAAATCATTTTTACCTTTCTGTTGCTTGTGTTTCTACAGTGCTTAGCACAATGTCCATGACAAGGGCTCCTAAGCACTACCTCAGTACATACAAACAAGTAAATAAAACGCACAATCTGGTTTGTTACTGTAGGGATGTTCACTAGGGCTAGGCTGTATACACCAGTCAGTTATTGCAGGATGTTCATAGCTGCTTCCTTGTGCATACTAGGTGGTTTTGAATTTGCCTATTAGTGCTGGATAGCTAGAAAAATATATTTTTAAATAAGAAATTTTCTTGGAAAAAATCTCTCAAAATTACTTGCATTTTACAAATAGATGCAAGAAAAATAGAAACTTTAACATTTGACTCTATTGATAGTGGTCCTTTAAGTCATGTTCTTAAAAATAACCTAAGCCAAATTTCGGAGGTATTTTGGAAGCTGTTGGATCAACTGAATATTTACTTTTGAAATCGCACACAGCACTGAAACTACTCAATGGAAATGCTGATTAAAGAATGGTGTTGGCTGTAGCATATCAATTTATAAACTTTAGAAATGGAAAGAGCAGGAGTTGTGCACTGCATGTTATCACATTTGGGAACTGCTGAGCTTCCAAGTTCATTAGCATGCTTTGCAAGTGACATATTCTCAGTTTGGCCTGTTTGGGGGAGAGACAATGAGGAGAGAAAAGGCTTGACCTAATGCTGTCATGGCCTCTCCTAAAAGAAAGCATCATGGTTACTATTTATATAAACATATAAAGGGTAGATGATCTGTCAGTACTGTAATAAATCCAGAAAGCCAAGTTTTAAAGGGCAGGTGAGTTGTATCTGCATAGTGAAATCAGATCTCCACAGAGGATCAACCTCTTGGACTCAGCAACAGTAAAAACAGGACTGCTTGTCAGCTTTGCTCTCTGCAAATAGTATTGGTAAAAAAAAAAAAAGAAGTGTATTTATTGTTATTCATAGAACAGATTTTCAGTAGGTGTCTAGCACATTTTAGGGTAAAATTGTGGTGGCCTTACTCATGTTAGTTATCTCATTGATAGAATCATAGACATGTAGGGATGGAAGGGACCTCAAGAGGCCATCTAGTCCATGCCCCCACACTGAGGCAGTATTATGGATACCTAGACCTTCCCTGACAGGTGTTTGTCTAACCTGTTCTTAAACACCTCCAATACCAAGGATTCCACAACATCCCTTGGTAACCTAGTCTGGTACTTAACTATCCTTATAGTTAGAAAGTGTTTCCTAATATCTAACCTAAATCTTCCTTGCTGCAGATGGACAATTACTTCTTGTCCTACCTTCAGTGGACATAGAGAATAATTGATCACCATCCTCTGATAACAACCTTTTACATATTTGAAGACTGTTCTCATGTCACACACACCTACACCCCAGCCTTCTTTTCTCTAGGCTAAATTTTCAGCCTTTTCTCAAACATTTTGGACCTTAAAATCATTAAAACTTCCACTGAAGCGGACATCTCCTTTGTATGATGCATCTTGGGTCCATAACACCAGCTGCCTACTATTAATGTTTCGTCAGTTATTACATGTTAAATGGAAGCTTCAAGGCAGCATTAAGTTTACAATTATAATTGCAAAAAGCCAGGAACTTGAAAATATTAAGGTTATAACACAGTTAATATGGTCATATTGTACATACTCTGTATATTATGATGTACATAATGACATTAATATGACAGATACGCATTTGAATAGAAAAACAAAAATACATCTGAGTTAATGCTGTAGGAACCTTAACTTGCTGTAATTAAATGCAAAAACAATTTATAGCTGAGATTTTAAATGTACAAAAGATTGGAATTTTAAAGTTGTTTCCCACAGAAACGGAAGCTCAACAAGTTGTAAATATATAATATATAATATTTAATATTGTGGTAAATATTGTGGTAAGGTGACTGAGGCATAGTTGCTGTTGGAACCATAATTATGAATTCTATGACCTTTCTGTGTGTACTCTGGGACTGGGCATACACACTGAAATTGCTACCCACATCAGGGACACTGTTCCAGGTGTAGTGAGCAGCATGACAGAGAGAACAAAACCAAGAGTAGAGAAAGGGACAAAGGATAGAGTAAGCAAAAGGAATGGAAAGTGTTTAGTAGGGCTTGAGAGAGTTCAGAGGAAAATGTGACTGTGAGATGATTATAGGACCTGCTAGAATGAGGAACTCAAACTAGATGCAATAAGTAGAAGAATTCAGAGGGTGGTGGAGTGGTGGAAGCTGGAGGAGTGGCAGAGAGATTGAACAAGAGAAGGTTATTTTAATCAAGGCAAGAGATCACAGTACATGGACAAGGGTTTCAGCAGCGGGAAAAGTGAGTAAGGAGATTTTGGCAATATGCTGCTGGAAACCTACCAACAATGTAGTTCCTTTTGTAACAATTGATTTTTCCTTGTATAATTGTTTTTCACTTTTCATGTTTCCTTTTCAGTTCATCAGAATTACATAGGTACAGATGCAGAGAAGAACCCTTTTTTTCTGTCTGTCGTGCTCTCCAACCAAAACAATCAACGTGTCCCTCAATACCGCTCAATTCTCTGGAAAAAAACAGTAAGGAACAAATACTAATTGTTGCCTGCCTGCCTGCTCTCCATGGTTTTTTAGGGCATTTCCTTCCCTCAGTTGTACCACTGAATTCTTAACATTTTTCCATAGCTACTGTGCTGTGGTTACCACAGGAGGTACATATATGGTATGAGTAAGCCCAGAAGAGAATGCAAACAAATTTCTGTAGGGTTCATGTGTCCAGATGCTAATTTTTTGTCATCCTGGCTTCCTTCACCTACAGGAAACCTTTGGATTCCCTGCTGACCGCCTAAAGGTCATTAACTAGGTATTAAAACTCACTTATTTTTAAGTATTTACTATTTCCGAGCACTGTCCGTGTAGATAGCTTTATATAAAACATAGGAGAAGGAATGGTCCCTACTCCAAGGACCTTCCATTCTGCATTTAGCGAGATCATACAGTTTGGACTGTCAATATGTTGGATGACTTGCATAGAAGTTCAGTCACAAATGGGCATATTTTAATTATTCATTGTAGTGAATTATCATTGAAAAGCTTCACAGAACTTGTATTTCAAGAAGATATACAAATGCATAGAGGGTGGATGTGTGGCCACAAGGAGAGAGAGAAAGATCCATGTCTATGGAATAACATAAAAGGAGAAGTAAAGATGAGAGAAGAAGGATACAAAGAGAGTGTTTAGTTAGTAAGGTGGCTTAGGAGAGCAGACAGATGGGAGTGGGAGAAGAGAGGTGAGATACAGGCAGGGATGTAGTGTCAAGGGCCTTGAAATAGATGATGACAAGAAGGCAAGGTGAAGCCAGTGAAGGAGGGGAGTGACCTGGGCAGAAGCAGTAGAAGTGGTTTAAAGGGAAAAGGGTATTGTAAAATATGAAGTATTGGTAGAGTGGCGTAACACATAACTACTTAAATAATTTATGCAAACTAAAAAAGCAAACAGGAAAATTAGACAGATTTATACAACTCCTAGGCAGTGAGAGTACATCAAAAGAATATCACCCAAATACATACTTCCTGTCTCACGTGTATTGCAGAAGAGATTTTGGTCAATTCTTGGTGGTATTTGCTTCCTAGGAATCACACTATCCATATTGATTTGTTCCATGTTTCTTGGCTCTTGAGTGGACTGTCTTTACAAAAAACAAAATTAAAAATAAAACCACCAAAAAGGAAATAAAAAAAAATTGAGATAACATAAGGGGGGAATGTTCTCTTCATTCTGCACTTTAGACTCCCCCATTGTACAGTAAAAATATGATGACAGATGGAAGTGTCAGTTACTTCAAAATACACTAGTCCAAATGATTAGCAATTTATGGCTGCTGAATCAGTACAGTGGGCACATTTAAGTTCATTCCAGTTCTCAAGATATTACTGGTTTTAGTGGTATTATCCATTCTAAATATAGGAAATATAATTAAAACTGGAATTAACTTTTTAATGCACCCACTGTATGTAGGAGAAAAGCTGGACAGTGTACAGATTATATAGTTTTGCTTGTGAGTGTTTGATCCTACTGGATGCCTTAATAGTCCTGTGTTTGTCATCAGAAGTGCTACATATGAACATCAGCTGCAAATAAATAAAAACTCTTGAGTTTCCTTGGTTTTTCTTTTGTTATTTATCTGATATGGTTCTTTAGTGATGTGATCATTAGCCAATAAAACCTTTACTCACAGAAATAGTCTTCCAAATAACAATTTTAGTGGTAACTTTTTAATGAATTTTGGTAACCTCGCAGGCTGAGTTTGAAACAAGATTATGCCCTTGCTGTACCCACCTACTGTGTGATACCATATGACATCCACTACATAAAATGACTGAATATGTACTCAAAATAAGGACTGTGGGAACATTTGCCATTCAGCAACCATTTGATCAACTCTTCTAAATTTTCAGGAGCAGGTATGCAATAGTTAGAGTTCTACAGCACAGAACTGATGTGGTCTAGGTGTCAGCCTTGTAGGATTTCCTTCTGTGGGTTAGTAAATGACTGTAAAACTCCACCGTGTGTTCAGGAACTATTGAGATAAAGTAAATAATAAACCTCATGCCATTTTACAAGTCAAAAGAATATCAGTGGTTTTATGCAGAATCAAAATTAAAGTGTAAGGTCAGCAAAGATGTCTCTGGGAGTCTATTAAGTCCACTTTAAATAGCTTTACAGAAACCTACTAAATGGCTTTATGTCAATGGAATATTTTCTTCCAGCACCAGGACGAAAACTGAGACATGTTGTTCTTCGGTCTTTATTTTTCTGTAAAATATTTTGCTGTTGTATTGTGTTTTGTGATTCTAAAAAATGTCTTTACTTTCTTTGTGATAGGGCTGGGAACATAACCGGCTAGATTGTTGTTTGTCCCCCTGTATAGGAGATGTAAGTGGAAGGGAGGCGCCTTCTCCTTATTGTCTCCCTGGCATAACCATGTAGTGTCCCAGCATCATAATGTGATCCATTATGCTCTTGACCCTACTACAAAGAATAGACATGCTTTTGAAAGGTCAAAATAACATGCATTGCAACAGCAAAATATATGCTCCCTGGTACTGCCTCCTTTCCAAAGGGGGACACAGAAAAGGTGGGGCCATGGCCCCATTCCCCTTCACACAGTCTATGGAACTTATTTAAATTCCTTGGAGAACATATATTCCTAGGAGCACCAAGCTGAATTGTGCTTCCCAGAGTTCTTCCTAAGGCACTGCAGCTCCATTCCACTCCCAGAGTGGGCCAGTACTAATAGGTACAGTGTGGCCCACAGTTTAGAGGGCTGATATTTTTCTTTCAGAGTTACTGTTAGCTGCTCTCTGATTTCCTCCCCCTCTTTTTTTTCCTGAATTGTGTGTAAAAGCTTCTTAAATGTTTACAACATATGGCTCTCCTTCAAGTGATCTCTGCATATTGCCTTTTGTAGGATGCACTGACAGTTTGTAGCTGAGATGGAACCTTACTCAGTGCCTGTTGGAGGACTCTCAGGCCCTTGTCTGCCCATTCCCTCACCATCATGAAACTTCAAACCCCCCTAGGGTAGGGGTCTCAAAGTCCCGGCCCGCGGGCCATCTGCGGCCCGAGAACCTCCCACTGTGGCCTGCGGAGGAGAGACACATGCAGCCACGCTGCCGGCAATGTCTGCTGCAGGAACTGTCCCCCGCAGCTCCCATTGGCTGGGTGAGAGGGACGGAGATACCATCACTAGTCGTCGGGCAGAGTCAGCCATGGAGGCAGCATCATTAGTTGCCAGGCAGAGTCAGCCATGGAGGCAGCGTCACTTTTTTCCACAATGAATATAAACAAGTCAAAATACTGAACACAACTATCTGATGCACACCTTCCTGCAATCCTGAAGGTTTCAACTGCTAGTTACTGAGGCCAGACATCAACAAACTGACAGGACTGAAGCATTGCCAGGTGTCTGGCAAACACTAACATCTCTCTGGCAGGTGAAGAATTGTATAAAGTTGTATGACAGTTTTATTATTTCTAAGAAATTCAAAATAAAAAATACAATATAAACGTTTTCTTTTCTGAACACCATCTTCAGTGACATTATTGGCCCTCTGGGAGGATTTGAGGACTGGCACTGGCCCTAAGGTAAATTGAGTTTGAGACCCCTGTCCTAGGGGCTAGGCTACAAACGAAGGTTTGGCACTCTGACTGCCTCAGTCTCTTCCAGCACTAGCAGTGGTGGATTGGGAACCAGACTGAACCTGTGGTCTAAATCTTTCTTCAAGATAGCTATTTTATTAGGCTTTAGATATAGCTATTGTTTATAGTTATTTAGTATAAGGTTTTATTAAAATAGATTTTTAGTATTAGATAGTATAACTTCTTCAAGCATTGGTTCCATTCTGGAAGAAATCCTGATGGCAGATCTGAAGATCAAAAAGCCAGGAGTGAGGACAGAGACAAAACAGGCTTCAGGCTTTACTCCTTCAAGAAGTGCTAAAGCCTGCTTAATCCAGCACAACAGTCAATTTCAAGAAGATGCACAGACTAGCTTCGGTTCTGGATACATCTGTGGGGAATTATCATCCAGCCACGTGGAGAGAGGCAGCCAGTAGCCCCGCAAGCACACGCAGGAGAAACCTGAAAGTGAAAGGAAAAAATAAACCACAAGCAGCCCTTTAAAGCTTTTTATTTAGCAGATTGCGCAACTGGGAGCCAATCATGTTCTCTGGCGGGAAATTTTTTTTAAAAAGCACAAGCCACACCTCCGGAAAAGCTCCAAAACAAACAACACGCTGCTTAAAGAAATGAGTAGGCAATTGCATACACAAAGAAGCCAATATACACTTGCTGGGAGTGGGCTTGGCATAACATCATCAGTTCCACCATCCTCTTTGGTTCTGACCCATAAGAAGATACCTAGAAAGGATCCTAAATCCATGGATGAGAAATCTAAAAAAAGCCCAGTAGAAACGGCCAGTGTGAGCATAGCTAACCCATGAATAAGAACCTCCTCAGAACCGGAAATCTTAGAATCAAGTAGACTTAGCACATAAAAACTCTGCAAGCAGAGTGAAAAAACACTCGAGTGAAGTAGCAAATATTATTACAAACTCAATTATGGGCAGGTCTACACTCCAGCAGGGATAGACGCTCTGAGATTGATTCATTGGAGGTCGATTTAGCGGGTCTAGTAAAGACCCGCCAAATCGACTGCAGATTGATCTCCAGTTGATCCCTGTACTCTACCCCCGACGAGAAGAGTAAGGTAAGTCGACGGGAGATTTTCCCGTGGTGTAGACCCTGCGGTAACTCGACCTAAGGTACGTTGACTCCAGCTACGTTATTCACGTAGCTGGAGTTGCATAGTGTAGGTTGACTTACCGCGGTAGTGTAGACATAGCCTATGTTTGTCATATTCAAACCAGAAATTGAAGGATCTGAATTTATCATCAGCAACACAATTAGAAATTATGAATGTTGTGCCAGATCTACATGTCGGTTCCAGTCTTCTTACCCAATCTCCTGTTACCGTTGTGCTCACAACTGTCACTCGGATCTGATGCCTCCACCTTAATTGGATGCAGGAAGTGAAGAATTGAGAACGAGGAAATCCCCTTCAGAGTCAGAAAAAAGAAGGGTAGAGGAGCACCATGCCTGGCCTCTGCTTTAACCTCCTAAAACTCAGATTCTCCTAGTAAACCAGTCTCTCCAGTGCCAGGACCACTGCTGTTGCCTCTGTGTTCTGGATTGGATCTGGAATCAGATCTGCAATCTGTAGACAATTACAAGCAGGAGGTGCTAGCAGTTTGTACGTCCTTAGAAGAATCTCTGGCTCTCAACCAGTCCATGAGGATTCTTATTATGGATAATGTTATGAATTGGATTTGGCTGTGGATTACTGGCCAGACTGGAAGATGCCACCGTCGAGAGGCCCTTGTTGGCCATCCCCAGATCTGCAGAACAGTGTACAATTTCAGTCCCCTCTAGCACTTCCAGAAACAGTTCCCAGAGATTTGAAGATACCAGATCCATTGACAAAATATAGAGGGAGACCAGTCTCCTACTCTGTCATACAGTTGTTTTATAGGAATTTCAGGAGATGGATCCTGAAATTAACAATCAAACATCTCCCAGAGCACTGCCTCTGCATTGTGACCCCACTCCCCACCTAGAGTGGCAATATTAGCTGTCCCTTCCCATCTCAGAGAGGTATAAGCAGCAACATGGGATCCCAACTTAAATAGACAGTCCATGGGATCCCAGCCCTTATCCTAGCCCTAGATAGGCAAGGATGGTAGCAAGGACAACCCATCCTCAGCACTTCCCAGCACTTAGGGTGTATATGATTAGCTGGATGGGCTGGTGCCTATTGCATTTTTTCTCTCCTGCTATGCTCAGTCTTCTGATGGTTGGATGTTGATGGAGTTCCCCAGAGCAGTAGGTCTTGGATTAATATCCCATTGAGATGAATGAGGTAGTTCAAACCTCTCAGAGCTATTGTCTCAGGCTCTCTGCAAACTCAAGGAGATGTTACTGTGTGTGTTAGTCAGTTCATGTTTAAGGTTTTTCTTCCCAACCATGGGGACTAGAAACTTTTTAAAATGAGAGCTCAGATTCTGCTGTAATCGCTTGTCTCTGGGAGCAGAGGTTCCAGACACAGGGCTGTAGTGCCTATGCCCTACTTAAGCCACCCTTGTGTTCAGGTACTCAGGTAGCTTATCTTTCACAGGGGCTAATATCAGATGCTTTATGGGAAGGTTTAAGAGTCTCCATAACTGGTAGTTAACTTCATCTATAGGCATGCTATTACTTTTTTCCTAACCCAAGACAGTTAGTGATTAGATTAAGTCCTGATGCATGAGGATTTATATACCTTATGAACTTTTATCCTAGCTAATATAACAGAATATTTTTATTATCCACCTAAATATATAATATTTTATTTAACCCTGCGATTATTGCTGCAGTATCTTGTAGCATTGAGTTCCAAAGTTGAATAATGCATTTTGTAAAAATATTTTCTTCTATTTGTTCATTTACTGGACTTAATTTTTGTTGGCTGTCCCTTTATTCTTGTATTATGAGACTGTAAAGAGGAGCACCTGACTTACTTTCTCTGTACAATTTAATATTTTTATACTTGTAGGACGTTACTTCTTATGTGGGCTCTCTAAACTTAAATAGCCTTAATTTTTTTTAGTCTCTCCTCCTGTGGAAATCTATCCATGCTACTAATAATTTTCATTGTCCTTATCTGCAACACTTCTTTAATTCTGAGACGAGTGGCCAAAACTGAATACAGTATTCCAGGTGAAGGGCATGCTATCAATTTATAAAATGGCATTATAATTATAATAAAGCTTAATATTTTGTTTTGCTTTTTTTGACTACCACTGTACATTGAGAAGATTCAATTTAGCAGTCCATAGTGATACACAGTGACAATTTTTCCTAAGTAGTTATAGATAACTTACAACCCATTAACATGTATGCATAGTTCAAGTGTTCCTCTCAATGGGCACTGTCTTGCAATTGTCTACATTTTAATTTCATCAGCGCTCGTGCTGTTAAGTCATCTAACATTGTTAATTCCCCCTGCAGTTCCTTACATTCCATTATACTTTAGATTAGCCTAAATAATGTTGCATCCTCTACATGTTTTGTCACATCACTCTCTTCCTCCCCTTTTCCAGGTAATTAACAAATATATTTAGATACCATTGAGGATGGGATCCTGGTTTTTAGTTTGGTTTAGTTTTCAGCGTTTGATTTAACTTCTTCTAGTATTTTTCCTTTATAGGGTACTCAGAAAATATGCCTCCCTTACAGTCCCACGAAAACATTATCAGTGAAATCTATTTTAAGGTAAATGTTCACAAATGAGTTATCATTAAATGTATTTGTCTGTGCCTTATTTTCCTTTTCTGTCATGCAGAAGCTTTATTTCTGTTCATATTTTCTTTTCCATTATGGCTGTAGAAAACAGTGAAACAAAGAATACAGTTCTTAAGGAAAGCACATATATGCAAGATGCCTCCAGTCCAGGTGCTGTAGAATGCCAAGTAATAGCCTCGTGAAACCTCTACGGCAATGGAGAAATACAACTCTAAGCACCTTTTTGGGGGGGCAGAGTGGGGAGAGGGGAGAATATCTTCAAGTTAGAAATTTGGCACTAACTGGAACTAACTAATTGGTGCTTGAGAGGAAGTGATCTTGGGCTTGCTTGTGGACAGACCATGTGTTGTTAAAGGTCTTACTCATCGTAATGTATACATCTTACATGGGCCTCCCCGCCCTCCATCTAGTCTTTTGTCCTCCTATCCATGAAATGCAATAGTTAACAGTGTTAATTTTAACATTTAGAATATCATTGGTATATGATTTCAGAGTGGTAGCCATGTTAGTCTGTATCAGCAAAAACAACGAGGAGTCCTTGTGGCACCTTAGAGACTAACAAATTCATTTGGGCATAAGCTTTCATGGCCTAAAACCCACTTCATGAGATGCATGGGGTGAAAAATACAGTAAGCAGAATATATATTATAGCACATGAAAAGATGGGAGTTGCTTTACCAAGTGGGGGGTCAGTGCTAAGGAGGCCAATTCAATTAAGGTGGAAGTGGCCTATTCTCAACTGTTGACAAGAAGGGGTGAATGTCAAGGGAGAGAAAATTACTTTTTGTAGTGACCCATCCACTCCCAGTCTTTATTCAGGCCTAATTTGATGGTGTCCAGTTTGCAAATTAATTCCAGCTCTGTAGTTTCTCGTTTGAGTTTGTTTTTGAAGTTTTTTTGTTGAAGAATTCTTCAGTTCCCACTTCGTGAAATCCTGAACTGTTGGGTAAAACAAGACTAGGAGAGAGATGGTGGATAAAATTACATATAGTCAAAGCTGTAGATAAGGACAAGATATTTTTGTCTGTTTAATAAGTCATATTTTGTATTTTTCTGCATATACAAAAGTTTTATCATGTTTCTTATGTATACAGTTGACTATTTTTCTATTTTCCTGTGTTGCTTGTGCATATTTAGGTTGTAGTTTTATGTCAAGCTTAATAATACACCCGTTTGTTTTGATTTTCACTTCCCTTATGGTACTTTTTAGGAAGCGTAGGAAAAGTTTACAAAACAAAATTCACTATTGTGTCATGTTAAAAGGATAACTATGATGTTCCTTAGCCCAGAGCTTTATATGCAAACAAAATAAGATAAACGTGTTGGCAATGCAATATCTTACTCATTTCTTTCTCTAAATGCCCATGCAGTAGTCAGTGTCACTGGGGAAAGAGATCATTAGAATGCAAACATATATGATAAAATGGCTATTCAGTTAATTCTTTATGTGCAGGTGTGTATCACTAAATGGCTAATATTGAAAAATATCCTTTCTCTCTTACAAAATCTATTTTAATTGCATTTCAGTGCCATGAATCTTGACAAATTTGAAAAAAGCCCTAGGGAAATTCTTCACCCTGAGATACAAAAGGTAAGAAAGAGACTGTTTTCTTCCCTCTTGTGTTTTAGAATACACTATTTATAGAAATAAATTATACTAGTTGTTGCTCAGTTACAGTGGCAGGACATGATAGTGCAGATTACAGTTCTGTGACATTGCCAAAAAACATTGTGGCTTGAAGTGTATTGAAGTGTCACTTGAAAAGGAAAATAACTTTGATTTTTAAAGAAGTGGAAATAAGATGGTTAGATCTTTGTTAGGGTGCTAACCAGGCTTTTTTTTTTTTTTTTTTTTTTTTTAAACAGGATTTACTGGTTCTTGAAGAGCAAGAGGTAAGTGTAAACTGATCACTTTGAACTCACAAAACCCATTCAGCGAATATTAGCTTTGCATTTAGAATAAGTTCCCCTTTATTTGTAATAACTGAGAAACCAGTCATTTCTTGTAACAAGGACTGTAATGTGAGGCACTGTGGAGCGTGCAAAGCTGAAGATTGTCTGTAAGTTCCATTGTGAATACATTTAAGTAAATAAATAGGATTTCATCATATGACCCAAAGATAAATTAGTGGAGAAAAATATAAAAGTGGTATTTGTGTAACACAAGGATATGGGCTATATATTTCCATAAGTAGGACTTGTATACAAATCCTTAGTGGAAAAATTATAAGAAAAGTACATTTGCTGACCTTTCCTGATTAACACACTATATCCCTGTTTTTATTTCTCAGGGCTGCGTAAATTTTAAGTTTGGAGTTCTTTATGCCAAAGATGGTCAACTTACAGATGATGAAATGTTCAGCAATGGTGAGTCAGCTTTTCATCTGGTAATTGAACACTTTTGGCTGCCCGAACGGAAAAACAACAGGACTGCATATTGACCCTGTATATTGACTATGGGGAAGAGAGATGGCTATTAGTGCTATGCTAATGATGGGTCTTTTCTGTGTGCAGGACTTGCAAACTTAATCCAATATCAGGGTCTGAGCTGGCCTTTGTGTTAGAGTAAAATATTGCATTATTTTTATATTTATGCATAAAAGGATTAAAAAGTCTGCTTCTCACAGTTGCTGTTTTGACACTGGTGTGATATTGCAAATGCACTTTGAGTAGCTCTGTATATTCCTACTTATGAAATATTGTGCCACCTTTTGGTAGAACCCTTTTTTCTAGCAGTGTAGCTAGGGGGCTCCTGTGGCCCCACCCCTTTCCTCAGCATACCCCACATACTGAGTGTGAGGCTACAAAGGTGGCGAAGTGCCCTCCCACCTCCATTCTGCCTAACCGCATGCCTGGGTGGATGTGAAACCCTCTGATGTCCTCAGAGGCAGAGTCTTCTCTTCTAAGAGTTAGTTTCGCATTTTCATATCGCAATTTGTCAAAATCATCTAAAGTATCTCTGATTCGTGATGGCTGGACACCATTTACAGTACAAGGTGCTCCCATTTAGCTTTTCCTTGGCACCCAGAGTATGTACAAAATGTCTTTCTGCAGTAGTGTCTCATTTAAGGAATGAGGGTATTTTCATTTACCCCTTCTTGGATGATTAGCTGCTAAAGGCAACTGTGCATGAGGATCTGATGAGCCACGTAGCCCCCATGACCAAACTTCTCTCAGACCTAGGATTCTTTCTGTCCTACTCAAAGGATTCCCTTTAAAGGGGCCATATTAAACTCTGTAGAAGGGAGAGTTTTTCTTCCAGACTACAGGTTTCTAAGAATTAGACAGAGTATATTAAAGATTTGAAGTTGTTCTATACAGAGGGGCAAGGTTTCTTATGGGTTTTATGGCAGTCACTACCTATGGATTCTGCAGAGCTGAGAATGAGACCCATTCAGCACTGGATGTCCTGGGTCCCTAGCCCAAGTTGGGAAAGCTTTCAGTTATGATCATCGTGCCTCACCACCTTATAGTATGTCCAGACTGGTGGTCAAACAGGGCTCACCTGAATTACTTGACAGTTTGAGGGCTCTGGTCATCCCTGGAGAGAGCATTGCATATCAGCATACTGGAACTGGGTTTTGACTCTCAAATCATTCCTCTGTATTCTGCAAGGGAAGGTTGTGGACGTAATGACGGACAATACATTGGTAATGTATTATATTGACAAATGGGAGAACTCATTCCGCCCCCTTGTGTGTGGAGGTGACCAAGTTATGGGATTGGTGTATCTGCTATGACATTCATCCCATGGCACTACATCTGGCAGTTGAGAACAATGTAGTTGCAGATCACCTGAGCAGAGATGGCTCTCAGATGCACGAGTGGTCCTTAAAGGATAAGCTAGTTCAAACTGTATTTTTGAGCTGGGGTCAGCCAGTTGTGGACTTGCTCATGACGCGACCCAACAGGAAATGCCACTGTTTCTGTTCCAGAATGGGCCGGGACAGTCAGTCCCTGTTGGATGCTTTCCTTCTGCACTGCGGGGAAGGGTCTGGTGTTTGCCTTTCCCTTGATACAGAAGGCAATAAGGAAGATACGTCAGGACAGGGCATGGGTGATACTCGTTGCCCCGGCGTGGCAACATCAACAGTGGTTTGCTTATCTCATTCATGCGTCTTCCTCTGTCCTCAGTCTGTCCCAGGAGGAGGATCTTTTATCTGCACCTGCAGTCCCTGTACCTGATGGCTTGAGTGACTGGGATTTGACTCTGTCTATTCTTGAGCATTTATGTTTGTCATCCGTGCAGGGCATACTAGTTAGTTTTAAAAATCAATCCAGTAGAAACTACAGATTTCAGGGATGGATGCATGGGAAGTCTGATTCCCCTACTGTCTTCCATCCCTTGTGTTCTGGAATACTTAACGTACTTAAAAAATCAAGTGTTGTCTAATTCATTGTTAAAAGTTCATTTGGCAGCCATCTCCACGGATCATACGTTGGTTGGTGGTAGATCACTGTTCATGTTTCCAGTAAAGAAGCTCCTGGAAGGTTTATAAAACTTGTATCCTCCTGTGAGAGATCCTGCCCCTTTTGGGGACCATAATTTGGTTTTGACCACATAGATAAAACCTCCATTTGAGCCTTTGGCAGAGTGTTCATTTTATTATTTGCCTTTCAAAACTGTCTTCATTATTGCCATTACATCAGCCAGGGGAGTGAGTGAGCTGACTTGGGTCAAGGCTGATTCACCTTTTTACTTCCTTTAATAGAGACAAGGTAATTCTTCTACCTGATCCTTGGTTCTTGCTTAAGGTAGTGGGTATTTCCCCCCCTAAATTACATTCTAATAAAGGAGAATCTGTCCTCCACCAACTGGATGCCCAAAGGGCGCTTGCATATTATTTGGACAGAACTAAGAGTTTTTGTAAAATGTCTAGACTGTTTGTTATGTATGTCAAGAATAATATGTGGCATACGGTTTCTTCTCAGACTATTTCCTGGTGTATTAAACAGTCTATTCAATCTGACCACATTACATTAGAGCTGTGGCTGCTTCTTTCGCTTGTTTGAGGCAGGTGCCAGATGTTGAGATCTACAAAGCTACAACCTGGACTTCGGTACACACCTTCACCAAGCATTATACTCTGAATTTGGTTTCTAGAGTTGATACTGGGTTTGGCAAGAGATGCTTCAGTGTTTATTCAATTAAGACTATGTTCCCACCTCCATGTTAGTCTCAGTACTCTTTATCAATCTGTCCCATAAGTGGGAATATGCAGAGCCACTGAAAGAAGAAATGAAGGTTATTTACCTTTAACTGGAGAGGGGCAGTGGTGCAGTAGTGTCATAGCTACACTGCTAGAAGGGTAGGTTCAAAGGGTTCTAATGCAACGCACCACAGGATGGTGCAATATCCCATAAATAGGAATATGCAGGGACATCTCCAAGAACTCCGGTTTTCTTTACAATAATTCTAAAGATATTTGAAAAATAACTTTTGGGCAACTGGAAAGAGGCTGTATCCATTGTTGGTTTTCTTTTTTCCAGAGTTTGAGATTGTTGTATACCCAAAAGAATGCTTTTGATTTCTTACACATTAAATATAATTTCTTTGAATAGTTGTGTTTGTGTGAATTTTTATTTTCACCTGGCTAACAATAATAAAAAACCCCAGACTTTTGGGTTTTGACTTTCTTCTTAATGAGGGCTTTGTATACTTTAAAATTACACTTGAAAAAAAAATTGAGTTTTGTATGATTAAAGCTCTGGCCAGCTTCTGGTGTGTTGGTGCTGTTTTCAGGTATTGTCTAATATATTTATACACTCAAGTTTGCAAGCCAAATTTGAAATAAAAACATCCATAATTTTCTTAAGGGATTGGAGGAAGTGGAGCTCAGGATCCCAAAGTACCACTTATTTCCCATTTTATTTTCCCTTTCTTGAGGCTCTGCATCATGATGACTGTCCCTGTGCCATCAGAATTAGCAAGAGGGAGTCACTGTTTAGTAAACACACGGTGATCCCTTTTTCTACCTGTTCCTCAAGACTGACCGTGCTGTTTTCAGAGAGCTCCCAGGCTTGGGTGATACGAGGCAAATTGAACTCAATTGTGAAATTCTGGTTCCCCACATGGTAGCGTGTTCCTCTACTATTGAGCCAGTGGGTCAGCTCACACATTCCTGTTTCATGTATTAAATTTCTAATATACCCATGCAGGTATTTAGAGAATTAAGATAGAAAAGGGACACACATGAAGAAGCAGTTCTTGCCAGAATATAAGCTGGGGAGTAGGCCGTGTGTTCTGTATTATGGTTAATGTGCAGTTGCATCTGCCATACCAATGAACTGTTTCATGCCTAACACTGCTTTCCTCCACTTGTAGAAACTGGAAGTGACAGCTTTCAAAGATTATTGAATCTTTTGGGTGACACAATTACACTGAAGGGCTGGACAGGCTACAGAGGAGGCCTGGACACTAAAAGTAAGATTTCAGCTAAAATAACTGGTGACAGGTCCATTGTGAATGTGCTGTTAGTGTGCATGCATATGTACAGAATGTAAGCACACTCATATACTGTTTACATAACAGAAAGTAATAGTCCAGTCTGAGAAGAGACCTACTCAGATACTATTTCCTAAACATATTATTAGACACATTTTGCCATTTTTCATCAAATAATAATAATGTTCTTAATATTATTGGTAAATCTTGATCTCCCCACCACTGACGCTACCTGATACAGTTACCACCACTGAGGCTATGTCTGTCATGACACACTCTTTTCAAAACCTTCTAATCCTATTCCTTAGTCATCCGGGGTTGGTTATGGCTAAGCAATGTGAGACGCTCCCTTCCTCACAACAGTGCTTGCAATGGGAATATCAGCATGGAGAGGCATCCCCACTGTCTGTAATAGGAAATAACATAGGCACTTTGCCCCCCAGCTTTGGCATAGCTTCCCTACCATCCCACTCTGCCCCCTGACAGAGCCTAGAATTTGGAGGATTTCCATGATGCAGTCTCAGCCCGATTTATTCCTCACAAATTCACATTGTCTGTTTTCTTAGACTGCATCTTACCTGTCATGAATTGGCCACATATTCTGTGTCATGGTGTTAGCTACGGGTGGTTAAATAGCATAACAACTTCACATACTGTAAAGAAGAGTCACATTCAGCTCCTTTTTCTCTTAGAGACAAAAATTAGACTTGTCAGGCACAAGTCTCTGCAGGATAGGACTCCTTCGAATTCATGGTGTACTAAAATAAAACTAAACTGGATACGTGTCTTCCAGTGGGACTCTGCAGGAGGAGTTCATTATTCAGTCGAAGGCCATGATTGAGAATGTAGATGTGCACTGGCTGTCAGCCCCAAACACAGGAGTATATTTTACTGAATTATGAATTTCTTGAATGGAGATTCTACTGATATGTGTTGGTGGCTGCATTTGTTTATGTTCATGATGCATTTTCACTGAGTTGCTGAATACATATCTCCTTTCAGGGTAAATCCACTGGGCCTACTGGCAGAAACATTATATATACTTTAAATTATGCAGGATGTCAAGATTTTATAATCTTTTATAATCTATTAATTTTGAGCTGTTTAAAGGCAAGTAAGAAGTATGTATCTGAAAAGGAGGTGCCCTGAGACTGTCCTGTGACAGGAAATGAAGTTTCCTTTTCTCCTTAGAAATGTAGTATTGCATAATCCCACTGAGAGTGGTTTTCTTCCTTTGCAGATGATACAACAGGAATATATTCCATATACACAGTGTATCAAGGGCATGAGATTATGTTCCATGTTTCAACCATGTTACCATATTCTAAAGAGAACAAGCAGCAAGTATGTGGTTTTCATACTGATTTTTCTTAGTAAACCACCGCATGTTTAAAAGAAAAGGTATTTTAGTTTGTCAGTGAAACTTGTTTTTTGAAATGTAAGACTCAAATCTCTCAATGCTTATGATATTCAAAATTGTGCCTGATATATAAAATTTTATATCTTTATTGCCAATACACTTCATTGCGTTACCTATCTCATAATTAGTCTTGGAAGGATTATATTTTTATTGATAAAAATGATAAACATCAATTTCACTGTACACACACGGACAAACTGAAAAAATATTTCCATTGATAATGATCAAAATTTATAGATAAGCAAGGTAAGAAAAATACTGCTTGAAAACTTATTAGACTTTGATTACTGGACATTTACTTCGTATTTTGACATATGATGTTGATAAATTTATGTTGTGTTATGTGATTGCGGAGCCATTGGCCATTATCTTTGAAAACTCAAGGTGATCGGGGGAGGTCCCGGATGACTGGAAAAAGGCTAATGTAGTGCCCATCTTTAAAAAAGGGAAGAAGGAGAATCCGGGGAACTATAGACTGGGCAGCCTCACCTCAGTCTCTGGAAAAATCATGGAGCAGGTCCTCAAAGAATCAATTCTGAAGCACTTAGCAGAGAGGAAAGTGATCAGGAACAGTCAGCATGGATTCACCAAGGGCAAGTCATGCCTGACTAACCTTATTGCCTTCTATGAGGAGATAACTGGGTCTGTGGATGAGGGGAAAGCAGTGGATGTGTTATTCCTTGACTTTAGCAAAACTTTTGATACGGTCTCCCATAGTATTCTTGCAGGCAAGTTAAAGAAGTATGGGCTGTATGAATGGACTATAATGTGGATAGAAAGCTGGCTAGATCGTCAGGCTCAAAGGGTAGTGATCAATGGCTCCATATCTAGTTGGCAGCCGGTATCAAGCGGAGTGCCCCAAGGGTCGGTCCTGGGGCTGGTTTTGTTCAATATCTTCATTAATGCTCTGGAGGATGGCGTGGACTGCACTCTCAGCAAGTTTGCAGATGAGACTAAACTGGGAGGAGTGGTAGATATGCTGGAGGGTAGGAGTAGGATACAGAGGGACCTAGACAAGTAAGAGGATTGGGCCAAAAGAAATCCGATGAGGTTCAACAAGGACAAGTGCAGAGTCCTGCACTTAGGACGGAAGAATTCCATGCACTGCTACAGACTAAGGATTGAATGGCTAGGCAGCAGTTCTGCAGAAAAGGACCTAGGGGTTACAGTGGACGAGAAGCTGGATTTGAGGCGACAGTGTGCCCTTGTTGCCAAGAAGGCTAACAGCATTTTGGGCTGTATAAGTAGGGGCATTGCCAGCAGATCGAGGGATATGATCATTCCCCTCTATTCGACATTTGTAAGGCCTCATCTGGAGTCCTGTGTCCAGTTTTGGGCCCCACACTACAAGAAGGATGTGGAAAAATTGGAAAGAGTCCAGCGAGGGAAACAAAAATGATTAGGGGGCTGGAGCACATGACTTATGAGGAGAGGCTGAGGGAACTGGGATTGTTTAGTTTGCAGAAGAGCAGAATGAGGGGGGATTTGATAGCTGCTTTCAACTACCTGAAAGTGGGTTCCAAAGAGGATGGATCTAGACTGTTCTCGGTGGTGGCAGATGACAGAACAAGGAGTAATGGTATCAAGTTGCAGTGGGGGAGGTTTAGGTTGGATATTAGGAAAAACTTTTTCACTAGGAGAGTGGTGAAGCACTGGAATGGGTTGCCTAGGGAGGTGGTGGAATCTCCTTCCTTAGAGGTTTTTAAGGTCAGGCTTGACAAAGCCCTGGCTGGGATGATTTAGTTGGGAATTGGTCCTGCTTTGAGCAGGGGGTTGGACTAGATGACCACCTGAGGTCCCTTCCAACCCTGATATTCTGTGATTCTATGATTCTTCATCCACTGAACTTTTGGACTACTTCTAGCTGATTTGCCTGTAAGGTAATTGAAGGATCTTGTGGACCCCCCTATGTTGTTTCACAAACTTATACAGGATTGTTTTAGGGGTCAAGACAAAGATGCCACATTTATTATTAATCTGTAACTATTAGCAAATACCTTAATGCTTATACACATACACACACACACACACACACCAAAATGTTCTGCAGCTGCTGGATAGTTACCAGTCCTGATTGTAGTTTGAGTTCGCAGCTTGGGATTGTAGCTCGTGACAGCTAACTGGCCAGGAAAGCTGAGCACGAGGGGGAGCCGGGTCTCTGTCGGGCGCGCACCGATGCTCCTTGATGTTGATAGCAGAACGTTACCCAAAGTTTCTCCTCTCACCCTTCCTTTTTTATAGGAGTTTAGTTTGGATTTAAAGTTCCTAGGTCTTGCTGTGTCACGCCGCCTCTGGGTTTGCTTGATTACCCGTCAATTGCAGGCGTGACTGTCAGCCTGGGACCTGGCTTTGATCTTCCTTCTGTTGTTTCTTTTTAGGGTGGATGCTTTTTGCTTGAGTTAGGGCTGTTGTCTAGTTCTTCAGCCGTTGGTATTTGAACTTTATTTCATCAGGACTGGCTGGTGCTGGAGGTTGATTCTATTACCCATGCATCCCTCATTCACACATCTTAACTAGACTAATAAAATTACAGTATGGCTTGCAAAAATAGAGGCTGCAGCACAAGCCTTTTACAAAATGGAGTCAGCATTTTAAAATGGGTTTTGAATTACAATATTGCACAGAAGTTACAATGTTACAATGTAGGTAAAATGGCAAGTGTAATGAAATGGTGAACAGAAGTTACAATGGTACAGTGAATAACTAAAAACAATTTCATTCATATTGGTTCTACATTGTCCCCCTTTTGACCCTTCAATCCAGGGGTATTGAATGGGTCACACTTTATGCAATTGTTTTAAGGCTATATATTGGGAAACAATGTGAGCTTGTGGTTTTAGCTTAAAGTACAGCCTTTTTATCCAGCAGCACATACCACACATTATAATTAACATTAAGCTTATCAGAATAAAGAAAACAACAATTGGATGTAACATAATTGTTAAAGTTGAAGACCAGGAGGGGGACCATCCCTTTAAGATATTATACCAATGGTGCACCATGATTTGCTCTGCTTGTGCAGATACTCTTAATATTTTAGATCCCTGATGTAAAATAGCCAAACTGCGGGTTTGAACCTGGGTTTGTGTGGCTTCAGTCAGTTGGCTAATTTGTTTATTTTTCTGTATTAGTTTGTACAGATTTGTCCAATTGACTCCCAAAGTGAAGTTAAAGTTTAGAATATTACTGGTATCCAGCGTGTTAGTTCCTTTATCCTTATGAGTTGGAAAGTAATAGGTTAGGGTGGGAGTTTTTAACATAGTTATATTACACATACACTGTTTTACGGGCGGTTCTGAGATGTATTTGTCTTGCCATACAAGCCTCTCTAATTCAATGGCACAGGCACAACTTTTTCTATTAAAATACACTTTTGTGGTACCGTTATTTAGTTCATCCCAGTAACAAGTTGCCAAGCTTTTATGTTGTAAGGAGCAGGGCTCTTCTAATTTTGGTAAGGTGGGACATACCCATTGTTGTGCAGTCCACCTGGAACACAAGCGATGGTCTATGATTTCCCCTTGTTCATTTAAATACATTCCCACCAATCGAGGAGCCCAAAGATGTCTGCCCTGAAGAACTGGGAGGGCTATGAAGGGCCATAGAGTAACTTTATATTTGTGTGGTTGGACCCGTATTACTTGTATAGTGATGTGCCCCATGAGGGTTGATGTGTACACGTTTGATTTCAGGGCCTTGTACCATCCAGAAACATAAGGGAGGAAAAGGTTATCTTTATGTCTTGTCAGTAGAGGAGTTAAGACTGTCATATCTTTAGCTCGTACCCAGTTCATTTTCCTTTCTGTTAGCATAATAGCTAATATTTGTTGTTCAGAACACCACAATGCTAATGCTGTTTTGTTCGTTATGTCCCTCATGGTGGCATATTGAGCCCAGAACGCCTGGTTAACATGTTTCCAAGTATGCCATTGCAAGTTCATTGTGTCTACCCCAGTTTGCACCAATTTAGCGATCTGGTGCTTTTGTCCTTGGGCAATAGTACGATGCAATGTTTCTACCACACTGGCCTTATTTTTCAGTGCTTCTAGATTTACCGAATTTAGAATTCCGGTTCCTGCTTCTATACCTCCTAACAAGGTATCTGTTATCCCTCGTCGCTGACGAGAGAGGGGATGTTCTGGTTGTAAGGATTTGAACCATGCTTTAAAGAGGGGGGAGCTATAGTGTGCACATTCTGGCCGACTTAGAGTTAAATTATTTCTGGTTCAGTTTATTGAAAGGTGTAGGGTTACAATTAATGGCGCCACTTGTGCTTTTATGGGAGGCTGCATCTTAAGCAAATGAGGACAGGGTATTTTTATGGGTTGTGGACCATTTAAAAACAGTACTGTTGTACTTTCTACTAATTTGGTTTTATTCACCCATACTGTTATTGTCCGGGTCTCTAGGGGTCCTGGTTTAAAGGGTGGGAATGTATGGTATCCAGGGAGGACGGGGTGACAATGGTGATTGTGATCTACTATAGGCTGGGTAGGTGTGCTAACCTTGAATATACAATTATGGTCATAAGGTGTGATATTTACCCAGACATGTAATGTAAGTAGTTCAAAGGGTCCATGTAACGTATGGTTAGATATTGGTACAATTTGGATCTGGTTTCCAGTGGTAAAATTGAACCACTGGATCCCCCAATGCGCATTGGATGTCCCCAAGGTGAATAATTGTGTTAGGAATCCCCAAAATAGTAACATTTTTGCTTCCAGCGGAGTTCTTCTGTAAACGCTTGCGCAGTTTGTGAGAAGGAAATAAAATTGTTGATTAGTTTGTAATACCAGTCTTCCGGTTGGAGGCAATCAGCTGAAGCTTTCTAGATTTCTTATAAGGGATTCGATGCCAGTGATACCTACAAAGGGATGAAGCACATGCTATTTAAGAAAACAGTTTTATCTGAGATACATGGACC